TCCCACCCAATGCTGCTTGCAGCTTTAATTTGAATTATGTTTGGTCAGGTAAAATTTGTTGAGTTAAATGAATTGAAAATGAATGAAAAAACTCTTGCCTCACAATGTTTTGGACCTCAAACCTCCATGCATTCTCATAAAAGGGGTAAAAGCAGTACATTTCTACTCTGTAGGAGTTTATCATCAACTCTCCGGACTTTGAGGCCGCCAAGTTCTGGGTGGGGAACCTGGGTAAGACCGCGACCCATGCTGTGGTGTTCGCTCAGCTCTACACATCTGACCAGGTGTGCCACGGCCTGCACTCCTTCGTTGTCCCGGTAAGGATTTGACCTTCAATCCCCAACCAAGTTGCAGCTGGTTACATTATCAGGCGCTGTTATCTGATGTTACAGCACAGCGCTGTATCTCAGAAGACACAGTATTATATTGATATTATAGTATTAAATGTGTGTTGACTCCTGAAATCCTGCAGTGGAAGCATTTCAAACAGTTTCAGTGTCTCAACATGTTTAGTCTTGTGAAATGTTACAGAAGTGCTTCTGCTTCAAGCAGTTAAAATGTTGGCTTGTTTGATTAAAAAGTATCAAATGAGATCAGGTGAAATGTAATTTCTGATGTCTAAGTGATGAAAGTGGAAGCACTGTGTTACGGCCCTGGCCGTGTTATTGCTTCTTAGTTCAAGAGATGGTTCAAGGGTGTACTATACTGTAGGCACAGCCCTCTAAGCTGTGGGCCCTAATGGTTCCTTTAACTAGCTGATGAAAAAGCTGTTTGTGGAAGCCGATTGTTCGGTCTCCGTCCAGCTTGCACACAAAGTTAGACCGAGGTGGGGCCCATGTAGTACACAAGTGAGGGATGAACCTGCTTGTGGTTATACTCATAAGATCTGAAGTTAAGGTATATAACTAGTGTTCACGCCTAGTCATTTTGAAAATGCAACGGCCAGTGGGGAAACTCCAACACTCAATCGACCAATGGTGTAACTTAATCATTCACTCACCAAATTAGCTCTGGTTGATCAGATGCATAATCAACAGAGGCGAAACACAGTGCACAATGACCTGAAGAACAAATGACACACTCACTTTGGTTCCCTGCTACCTGCTATTCTTTTGTTCCATCACAACAAACTCTCAAGCCAATTTAGTTTTCGTTGAATGCTTCAAATGTTATGTCAAATATAATATATATAAATATATATATATATATATATAAAGGTTAATAATGTTAAAATCAATAAGATCATACTGTGTCATTGTGGACTAGAGGATACTGCACATTGTTTTTAATGATTAGGACACACTGAGCCCCATGTATCACATCCAGTTAATTATAACTATTGTGCTGCAGGTGAGAGATTCCAAGACCTTGCTTGCTTTGCCTGGTGTGCTGGTTGGAGACATGGGCAAGAAGCTGGGCCAGAACGGACTGGATAACGGGTAGGTGATGGCAACGGAAGGCTTATTATTGTTGCTTTCTTTTTCCCCCTTGATCTGATGCATAACTGCTTTTTACAGTGACAGAGAAAGATATATAAAAATGGTGGTATCAATAATACTTAATGTGTGTGTGTGTGTTTTATATAAAAGATCCATGAGAGCCTTACTACTGCATTATAAACCACTACACATAATCTGTTATGGAGTTCAAATAAAATGTTTAATAAAAATAAATGTATAATTAATTTAATAATAGTACCTTTTTGCATGGGACATTTAGGAACATCAACATGGGGGATTTCCGTAAGAGCATTTGTTACGACTGACAAGAGGGAGTTTACTGCAGTATTGACATTCACATAGTGTATCCTTTACTGCAGCCATGCCAACATTTGTCTCTTATCCATTTTATTACATTTTACTGGGGTTATAAATGCCTTATGAAAAATTTCCATTTGAATAATTCTATATATGACACACTTTTAATTATTGAGGTATTCCATACTATTTGCCAATTGTGGAAGGGGCCCCACTATGTCCTTTTCCCAACAAAGCAGTGTTGGTGAGTTACAATGGTGTTACTTTACACGCTTATGTCAGTGAAACTAAGCTATGACTGTGTTTTGCTGCCAATGTAAAAGGGGGTTTTTGAATGAAAGATGCATTCCTTTGATCATGTGTATAATGACATCAAAACAATCATATGAATACAAATGCCAGTACAGTGTCTCAGTGTGTACAGTTGTCCAACTGGATATCTACAGACCTGAAATTTAACAAGGTTTAGGCGGCTGAAATATTACCATAGGAAATCAACCATAAATCATAAAACATGTTTAGCCAGCACCGAGTATCTGCAGTAGTATTTCCAACTTTGAATTAAAGCTGCAAGTAGCATTGGGCGGGACCTCGCACTC